TAATTATGTAAAATAAAAAATTATAAATCATAAAGTATTTGTAATTTTTAAAATTATAAGAGGTAATTTTTATAAAAAATTACAATGCACATACACAGTCAACACATTCAGTTTATTTAGTATCGGCTATTAATATAATCATATTCTCCTTGAGAAAGAAAATTACAGCCAGACAACTGAGCAACTACTGTCTTCTCTCTTACAATTAGTTCTATGGCATGTCCTTCAATCAAAGCTCAGATCACTCGAATTGAATGTCAAGTCATCCTTTTTTGAGGATTTGGAAACTCAAAAAAAGCTAACAAAACACCAAGTGGAAAAACCCATATATTCATAGCTTAAACATCAAGATATTATTCACTAACAATTGCATTATGTGACTAACATCCTCTTGTTTATCATGATTGAAGGTAAATAACATCAAGAACCATAAAATATGTATCATAAAATAAAAATGGAGAAATTCATGCGAGTAACACAACAACATAGTCAAAGAATCCTTTTTGTTCCAAGAACCAACGGTAGAATATCAAGGTGATGATTTTAGATCTAGCAAGGGATCTGTTCTGTGAACCATTTCACGACAAGAAAGGGAGCCTTGATCAATCCCAGCGCTAGCTCCACTATTATTGTCACGCACAAGCAACATGGGCATATGCATGTCAACACTAACCTACAACCACATTCAAATTCACAAACCAACCACTTATGATCAGTTTCACATGCATACATATTGTTTACATTTGTTTTTGTAATATACTGTAAGAGAGAGTGAGAGAGACGAACCCGACAATCCAGATAATGACTCCGATGAGTGAGAGGAGAAGGGCCAAGAAAGCAAAGGGTAGCCCCAAGAGAAAGCCCAAAGGCCTGCATTCACATTCCTCACTGCAGCAACAACAGCACATAGCTATTCTTCTTCGTCTTCTCCTCCTTTCTTCTTGGGTTTGTGAGTTTTTTTTTTGTTATTTGTTTTGTGTATAGTTTATAATCAACAATATTTGACTGAGATTACATATACCCACCAATATAACAAAACAAAACAAAACAAATAGAAATATGTTGTCTTTTAGGTCTTTGCCACCACAACCAACAATATAGAAACTGTTGACCCACCCATCAATGCCATCCTTCCATGTCACATACTCCTACTTCCACCATGACTAACCAACATTCCTTTTTTTTTGTTTTGGGTAATGAACAAAAGGAAATTTATTTTCACTGGTCTCCATAACCCACTCCCCTAGGTTTAGAATGAGGAGAGGTCAAGTTCTGTTACACAGTTATCAAAACTTTGGAATTATCAACCATATTAAGCCACAGTGATGTAGATTGTTAAGGCTAACCAAGCTATGAGAGTAATGCTAAAAGTTGATAAATTAAATAAGAAGCTTTTCGACACTCAATTAATCTTAAGAATGATATTATTGTATAACAATATTAGAAGAGGCTTTACCTTATTCACCCAAAAAATTTTTTGTTCACCCAAAAAAAAAAAGAGGCTTTACCTCCCGGTTGCTAACATGTTTACTCACATCTTTTGTCCAACATGGAAGCCTTCTAAACCACCATAAATCCCAACCCAACTGAAACAAGTATCTTTGGATACCCCCCTGACCTTCATTAATTCCCTGAGTTCACTTACACTATCCCATTTCCCAGCAGCTGCCAAAGTATTGGATAGTGCAATGTATGCCCCTGGACGGTCATCATGACTCAACTTGAAAATTTCATTGGATACTATACTCGCAATTTCTACATCATCGTGTTGTCTACAAGCGCTAAGCAAAGCTGCCCAAACATCAGAATTAGGCTTCTCAGGCATTGCCATTACAAACTCCCATGCCTGATATAAACTTCCAGCGCGCCCCAAGAGGTCAACCATGCAAGCATAATGTTCCATCTTTGGTTTCATCAAGTACTCTCTCTCCATGCTATCAAAGATTTCTTGGCCTTTGGCAACTAAGCCAGCATGCCCACAAGCCGACAGAGCACCAAGGAACGTAACATAATTAGGTTCAGTGCATCGATCTCTTTGCATTCTGAAAAAGAGCTCCAGTGCTTCCTCTGGATTTCCATTCTTTCCATATCCATTGATCATGGAAGTCCATGAAAATACATTTCTTTCATTCATGTGGTCAAAGACCCTTCTTGCATCCTCTATTCTTCCACATTTTGCGTACATGTCTATAAGAGCACTTCCCATTTTTATGTCAGTGAAGAGTTCAGTCTTCATAATTTGAGCCTGGACTTGTTGACCAATTTCAAATGCTGACAATACAGAGCAAGCCCCAATAATGCTTGCAAAAGTCGATATTGTAGGCCTAAAATCCAACCTTAGCATGTCAATAAAAACCTCAAGTGCCTTCTTAGCTGTTTCCAATGATTTGCTATAACCTTCAATCATCGCATTATAAACTACCACATCTTTTTCTAGTGTTTTCTTGAAAATATACTCAGCATCTTCAACACAACCTTGATTCATGTAACCCGAAATCATTGACGTTGAACAAATCACATTCCTTTCCAACATCATATCGAAGACTCTCCTCGCATAATCTACTCTCCCACTCTTAACATATGCATCAACAAGAGCAGTGTAAAGAACTTCATCACCCTCCACATCGGATTTCACCACCTGGGCATGGACTTGCTTTCCCAAACTACTCGCAACCGATGAAACACTCTCACAAGTAGAAGCCTTCAATATCATCGAAAACGTGAACCCATCAGGCTTTTCATTCGAAAAAACCAATCCCTTAACCAAATTCAGAGATTCTAACACCTGCCTATTCTTTATGTAACCCGAAATCATATAATTATAAGCAGAGAGAGTTGGGTTAGGCAATTCATCAAACACTTGGCGTGCATAGGCAAGACAACTAGATTTAATGTGTAGAATGAGGAGTTTGATGGAGATATTGGTGTTGGACTTGAACCCAGTTTTGAGAATGTGGGTGTGGATCTTTTGGCCATGGGAAGGGGTGTCTGAGTTGATGAAGTGTTGCAGAGCAGAGGAGAGAGAAGAGGCAGTTGGTGGGTACAAAAGGTAGTTGGTCTCTGATGGCGGGAAAGTGTGATTGAGTGGGACCAGTGATTTGGAGATATGGGTTGATGAGAAAATGGACGGTCTGATTGAGGGTAATCTGCCATTTTTCATCTTCCCATTTGATCTGATCATATGTCACTCTCTCTGACTTTGTGCAATCAACAATGGTGGGTCGACTTTGATGTTATAGTCTGCAAGGGAGAAGAACAACATACGACGCCGTTTATTAAGACCACTATTACAACATTCACAAAGGAACCTCTTACCATTTTGGGCTTAATTCGTGAGACAATTGGGCCCATTTAAATGGCAAACAGAGGTGGTTTAGGAAAACTATGAAAAATGGTTAAATTTTGTAGGCTGCTATTAGCATCTATTTAAATTTTTTTGAATTACCATTTATTTGAACCCTCAATCTAAATTCTAAATTTCAATAAAATTTCTTTAAACACTCCATTTAATACTAAATTTATCCATATTCATAATATTATCACACCCAACGGCACACTCACTTAATTTTCCACATCCTCTCTCATTCTCTTTTTGGTGACCGTCATCTCCTATTAAAAAGAACGCCAACGGTCATTGCATCAATAAATACTAGCTGACACAACTGAGTCTCATTCATTCTTTCCTAGGGTAAATTACACTTACCTCCCCTGAGGTTTAGCATAATTACAGGTACCTCCTTTTTACAATATTCTGAATAGTTTTCTTTCCTAAAAAATAAAAGCTTACAAAAAAAAGAACAAATACTCAAGAGATCTAAACCCAAAGAAAAAATCTTATATGAATTTTTTTTTCTTTATAATTTTTTTAAAATTTTTATTTCATTACATCAGCATGTAAAATAAAAATATATATAAATAGGGGTTGCATTTATTTTTATAATCATTTTATTTAATATTTTTTATTTTGTTAATGTGTTGTCTAAAAAATGTCTTTAAAAAATAAATAAAATCAGTAGTTCAAATATAATTTTTGTTTATGACAAAATTTTTATTTTTATAATCATTTCATTTAATACTTAATTGTAAATAATTTTATTTAGTTAGTTGTAAAATGTTGTCTAAAAAAACGCCTCTAAAATAATTTTTGTTTATGGCACAATTTTTATTTTTATAATCATTTCATTTAATACTTAATTCTAAATAATTTTATTTAGTTAGCTGTAAAGTGTTGTTTAAAAAAATGCCTTCAAAATTTTTTTTGTTTATGGCATAATTTTTATTTTTATAATCATTTAATAATTGTGAATATTTTTTATTTAGTTAATTCAGGTATTGCTCAAAAATAATTTGTAAACATTTAAAATCAATTATTCTTAAAATCATTAACTATTAAAATAAAATATAAAAACTCCTTTTATAGTGATTTGAAAATATGAGGTTTGGAGAATTTATTAGACAATGGGATTGGATTATGCATTGGTGGTTATCAATAACCCTACCAATGAATTGTAGAGGAGAAACAGCATAGAAAGAGTTTCTATAAAGAAAGATAGTGTAGAAAAACATATAAAAAAATAATAAAAGAAAAATAGAATATATATATATATATAGTCACTTAGATTTAAAAGTTAACACATATATATAGGATCATATGTCCTAGTTATGACATTTATGATATTTGATTATGACTTATTGTGATGTTATGGCTTAGTTATGACTCATTATGGTATTATGACTTATTGTGATGTTGATTATTATCTATTGTAATTATTATTTTGGTTATAATCTAAAATGTCTTTAATTATACTTTATGTGGTATTAATTATGACTGAAAAAGATTTAATTATGAACACGACAAATGTCATAAGTTGCATATAGTATACTATTTTGAGAATATGTATTATAACATTATTCATATATATATATATATATATGCGGGGACATAAAATTTTGAATAACGACACGTGGCCGAGGTGTCACCAAAGTGCCAGCCGAGGTGCCACGTGTCCTGGTCATGACGCCGAGGTGATCTCGGCAAGGCCGAGGTTATCTCCGAAGATACCGGAATCCGAGATAAGCGGATAAGGGACAAGAGTCCTAGAATGAGAGAAGACTTCAGTTTGGGTAAAGATGAGACTCTTAGGGAGTTTATCCTAATTCTACTGGGAGTCCAATGTTAGCAGTAATCCTAAGTCCATTAGAGTTAGGCTCCTATTGGGACTAGGATTGTGTTGGCTATAAAAGGGAGGCACCCCCATGGGTCTAAGGTATGTCTTTTATGCTCTGTCTAGTGAGTTAAGCACTTTTGATTATCTTTGAGAGATATATTGACTTGATCGTCGGAGTACCCCCGGGTGGACGAACCACTGCCGGAATCTTCTCTTTCTGTTGCAGGTCAGTCAAGTGCCATCTATTCTGCCAGTGCTCTCCAGCTGGGTACCTGCTTGGCAGTGTGGTTGGAAATTGACCCACACAATTTGGCGCCGTCTGTGGGAAAGAAAAGAAAATAGATGGCCATCACTGTACAAGATCAACGTATCGAAAATGACGAGTTTAGCAAAGATGGAGAATGTGTCGACATAAACGGAGTGAAAACCCTTCTAGAAGGGACGCAAAGACAGGGGGCATGAGTGCTCCTAAGGAGATGACATTCAAGTATAAAAGAGCTCAGCCCAAGTGAGCAAATCTTGGATTCCAGATCCTGGATCCCGGATCCCAGAAGACAAGATCTCGGCCTAAATAAGTAGGTCCAAGAAGACAAGAGCTCAGCCTACGTGAGTAGATCCCGGATTCCAGATCCTGGATCCCGGATCCCAGAAGGCATGATCTCGGCCTAGATGAGTAGGTCCGAGAAAACAAGAGCTCAGCCTAAGTGAGCAGATCCCGGATTCCAGATCCTGGATCCCGAATCCCAGAAGGCATGATCTCGGCCTAGATGAGTAGGTCTGAGAAGAGAAGAGCTCAACATGAGAGAGCAGATCCAAGATTCCAGCAGACAAGACCTCGGCACTTAAGCCTGAGAAGAGAAGAGCTCAGTGAGCAGATCTCAGATCTCAGAAGATAAAAAGAAAACATACAAGGTCAGACTGCAGTTAGCCAGGTTGAAGACCTTTTATAAGGTCCACAAAAGAGCATGTGAAAGCCATGCAGGGGGCAAAGAGAAGAGAGATTATTGTTTAACACTTGTTGAAATTTGTAGCAATTTACAAGTTGAAGTTAAACCGAAATCATTGTTTAACACTTGTTGAAATTTGTGGACAATTTACAAGTTGAAATTAAACCGAAATCATTGTTTAACACTTGTTAAAATTTGTGGACAATTTACAAGCTAAATTTAAACCGAGGTCATTGTTTAACACTTGTTGAAATTTGTGAACAATTTACAAGTTGAAGTTAAACCGAAATCATTGTTTAACACTTGTTGAAATTTGTGGACAATTTACAAGTTGAAGTTAAACCGAGGTCATTGTTTAACACTTGTTGAAATTTGTGGACAATTTACAAGTTGAAGTTAAACCGTAATCATTGTTTAACACTTGTTGAAATTTGTGGACAATTTACAAGTTGAAGTTAAATCGAAATCAATGTTTAACACTTATTGAAATTTGTAGACAATTTACAAGTTGAAGTTAAACCGAGGTCATTGTTTAACACTTGTTAAAATTTGTGGACAATTTACAAGTTGAAGTTAAACCGAGATCATTGTTTAACACTTGTTGAAATTTGTGGACAATTTATAAGTTGAAGTTAAACCGAGATCATTGTTTAAACAATGATTAAAACTTGAGAAAAGTTTACAAGTTGAAGTAAGACAAAGGATATGTCTTGTACTTGTTAAAATTTGTGATAAATTTACAAGTCAGGGCTAAGGTTGTGTCAAATTAAAGTACTTGGGTACTTATCGAGGTAAAACATCAGTTTGTATAATCGAGGTGTATCACCCTGAGAAGATTGCACGAGGATTGAAGTATGGAGGCATACAAAGCAAGCATGCAAGCATTCAAAAGCAAAAGAGTTGTTGTATTAAAAACACATCGGCAATGTGAAGAGTTTACATTACTTCAAAAAGAAAACAAAGTACAATCCAGTGAGGGAAAGACGCATGACTGAAACGATTGGGTTGTTGTGCGTGACAGCTTTCCCGCGTGATGACACTCTTGGAGTTCTTGATTCAATGAAGCAAATACCTCGGCTAGGAGGATGGTTTCGGTTGAGAAACTCGAACAAAGCTTGGTTGTTAGTTCCAAAACATTGATGAAAGCAGACTATAGGTCATGGTCATATTGAGCCGACGAGTTCTGACTTCGGCAACAAATAATGGAATAAGCTTAGCCGATGTGCTAAATTCGAAGAAATGATATAGGTTCTATCACCTTAGGATGCCGAGGTAATAGAACCTAGGGGGCAGTTGTGGGGACATAAAATTTTGAATAATGACACGTGGCTGAGGTGTCACCGAAGTGCCAGTTGTGGTGCCACGTGTCCTGGTCATGACGCCGAGGTGATCTTGGCAAGGGCGAGGTTATCTCCGAAGATACCGGAATCTGAGATAAACGGATAAAGGACAAGAGTCCTAGAATGGGAGAAGACTTCAGTTTGGATAAAGATGAGACTCTTAGGGAGTTTATCCTAATTCTACTGGGAGTCCAAGGTTAGCAGTAATCCTAAGTCCATTAGAGCTAGGCTCCTATTGGGACTAGGATTGTGTTGGCTATAAAAGGGAGGCACCCCCATGGGTCTAAGGTATGTCTTTTATGCTCTATCTAGTGAGTGAAGCACTTTTGATTATCTTTGAGAGATATACTGACTTGATCGTCAGAGTGCCCCCGGGTGGACGAACCACCGCCGGAATCTTCTCTTTCTGTTTCAGGTCAATCAAGTACCATCTATTCTGTCAGTGCTCTCCAGCTAGGTACCTGCTTAGCAGTGTGGTCGAAACTACCCATCACAATATATATATATATATATATTATAATATATATATATGTGTGTGTGTGTGTGTGTGTGTGTGTGTTTATATATATATATATATATGCAGCATCTACCTTTGGGCCATATATCTATATATATGTGTAGAAGCATATATATATATGGAGGGAAGGTAAGTGTAATTTATTTTAATATGTTAAGTAGTTGAATAGTATTGGAATTTGTAGAATAATTATGGATGACATTAGCAAAATCTATTTGATTTTGGATGGATGGGTAACAGAAAGGGGAATCTGACTATTATTTTCAAAAGCAAGGGAGGTCTGTATAATTTTTGAAACCACAAGAGAGGTATCTGTAATTAAGGCAAACTTTAGGGGAGGTAAATGTAATTTATCCTTAATAATATATATGTATATATATAATA